TAGTCTGCATTAAGCACAGAGAGCTCTCCCTGAGGGAAAGCACTGACTCATCGTAAACACGTGACTTCTGGGAAAGCGAGCTGAGGGTTCACAGGGCAGCAAACCAGAGACAAGTTGTCCTTGGGTTGGAGAACTGATTTGAGCTTGAGAGGGATCACAGTGAAATGCCATTGGAACTCAACTTCCCCCAGAGATCCGTTCATCTCAAAAACAAGAGTATATAAAAATCAGTAGTACAAATTCTCATAAAACTAGAAAGGCCCTCTGACCCCTGATGCCTTGGCGCTGACATAAAGACTGAGTTTTTGTTTTCCTTCCCTTTTCTATAAATTAAATACAATTCAGTTTGTTTCTATTGAGTTCATTTCTGACTGCATATCCAAAGCTTCAAAATGAAGAAAAAAGCTTTAATGGAATGGAGTTAGGCAAACAATTAATCCCAGGGAGGATCATCAGGGTGCACTGCTGTTCGAAAAGTTTGAAGCAGGAAATCTTTTATTTCAAAGATACGAAACTTCTCGGGATAGCCTAATTATCACTAAGAAAGGAAGGAATATCCATGCCATACCAGAGCTTTCTCCTTTTTGGAAATGTTTTACCATTTTTATCTCTGTCATTCTGTCTCTCTCACACAAACACTACTTAGATAATGGCATTTATTTTGGCAAGAACTGTGCAATTTGCTGAAAGAAAGATAAGATATGGCACTTATAAACAAGTGTAATTATAATACACTTCAACAGGTGCAGGAAGCAGATATTTCTTCACAGCTGAAATATGGCCCCATGGGTCCCTGACATCTGGGTCATGCACACTTCTCCCTGGAAACCAGACTGGGCCCGTTATATATGGAAAGGGGTGGTAACTTATGACCAGACCACATTCTTTTGAGACACCAAACAGACACAAGGAAGCTACTAAAAATGGAGGGGAAGAGATGAACATCATCTGCCTTATGAATGGCCCCTCTCCAGCAAAATTAACTGCAGCAAGAAAATGTAACTGCTGTCTGTTAAAGGTGATGAGCAAAATTCATCAGGTAGGTACGGATGCCTCCCGAGATGCTGTAACACAGGCAGAGTACAGATGAGACACGTGCCCTCCACGTATACAGTGTGCAACTACCACTGGGACCCCGTGAGGGCCCATTTCCTGTCTCAGCACCAAAGCACGAAAAACAAAGGTTCCAGGCGGGAGTAAATAACGTTGCTTTCCCTACTAATGAGAAAGGAGAGCCCAAACTAAAGAAAGGTACCTAAAAGGCCTTTTTCGTTTCCTGATTAATCAATCCCTATAGGTCCATGAAAAGAGTTCACGTAAACAGGATTATTTCCGTTCTTAAATACAAGGAGGCAAGATAATTGAAATATCATTTAGGGTAACTGTTAAGGATTTCATTAGGCAATGCATGAAATGCGCCTAGCATGAAATAGCAATGACCAGCAACTGCTAAGAATGCCTATACCCTAACACTTGGAAATTGGTGATGCTTATAAATACCCCCAGCATGCCAGTGAATTATTTGGACAAACTGCTACAGTCAAATACTGAACGTAGGTTCCAGTAAACTAAAATCTTTCCAACATTATTGCCTCAACATTTCGAGTGGCAGAAAAGCCACAGCAGCACCTCTCACTCATTGCTCTTCTTTCCTTTCCCTTCCCTATGGGGGTTGGGGAGAGGGGGAGGGGGGCAGCAGGGGGAGGGAGGAAGGGGACACATCTGAGTGTGGCTCCTGGAGGGGACAGGGAATGACCTGGGGAAGGTGGAGAGGACAGGAAGCCAGTCTGCCGATTGGCCAGAACTGTGTATGGTAAGCAGCACCACCAGATCAGATGGCAGGCAACTGTGTGGATTTGCATTCAGAATCCTGGTGATGTAATAGAGAGCAATGGTGTCAAGCCAGGGTTACCCTGTTAGGTGCACACTCACCATTGGTTCACCTGCCAGCACTTTAGGGAGGACCAGTTTATCAGGGCCTTGTCTGGGGTCACAGCGAATGTTTTGTTTTAATCTCAGGAAAGAAGTGAGGCCCCCAAGAGCCCTGACCTACCTGTGAGCAACATGGCTGAGGGTAGCTAAAGGTAATGGTCCCTTTAAGGACACAAAAATCATGGACACAAAAGAGTTGGTGAGGGACACGAGCTTCCCTTCTCCATAGATTAGCCAGGACTTAAGCCAGCCTACAGTAACAGCCTTTTGTTTATAAATGAATCGTTTCTGAGGAGTATCAAGGCTCAGACTTTCCTCTAGCAGCTTCCTTTGCGTAAGCAAAGGGAAAACTAAGAACAGTACCTTGCAAAGTGGAATGTCACTTAGGGGACTATTTCTTATGCGAGGCCACTCTTAAATACAAGAAAAAAAAAAAAAAAAACAAGCAAGCTCTCTCAGAAAACAGATGGCTGACATCCAGGAGCAAACTCTGGCTGCAGAGTCAGGAAAACCTGAGTGTGAGTCCTGGCTACAATTTATTGGCAGCAGGGGCCTGGGCCACACCCCTCACCTCTCTGGCCTTGCCTTCTCTTATAAATGTGAGATCGTGCCTATCTCCTAGGATGCTGGAAAGATGAACTGCAGTGTGGGTCACAGTTGTGAGGGCATGAAAGTTTGATCCTGCATTTTTTATTATTGTGTTGTTTTCCATGAACAGCTATAAACCTATCTCTGTCCCAACTAAAGGCCCTAAAACTGCACGTTAGTCGGTAGGCCTTTGATAAGTGGTACCTATTTAATGCTTGCATTAAAGTTAATGGGTATTAAATACAGCAACGGTCAAGTTCTAAACAAGTGGGACATCTGTCAGGATAATGGAGAGAAAGTGAATTGAGAGCTGGTTAGAACCACAGCATGTGAGAACAGGGAGGAATCTCAGACTATCCAAATGATTTCTGCGTAACGGTAAAGGAGCTGTGTGTGGGGCTCCTTAGAATGGAAACCAAGAACAGCTGTTCCTTGCCAAAACCGGTTTGGCTCAGTGGATAGAGCGTCAACCTGCGGACTGAAAGGTCCCGGGTTCAATTCCAGTCAGGGCATGTACCTTGGTTGCGGGCACATCCCAAGTGGGGGTGTGTGCAAGAGGCAGTTGATCGATGATTCGCTCTCATCAATGTTTCTAACTCTCTATTCCTCTCCCTTCCTCTCTGTAAAAAAATCAATAAAATATTTTTAAAAGTTATTTTAAAAAAAGAAAAGCTGTCCCTTGGATTTTACTTTTCACAAAATATTTTCAAATTTTCAATTTTTTTTTTTTTTTTTTTTTACAAAATCATTGAAGGAGTGTTGAAGAAAACCAGAAATATGAATTTTTTGAGACCACTGAGCATGAAACAAGCATCATCTTCCAAAGACCATGGAAAAAGTGTGTGACTTTTTTTTGGACAAACTAGCAAAAGGCCACCCCGGTTGGTGGGCAGTCTCAGAAACAGCAACACCGTGGGACAGTGTCACAGGCTGTAGTTGTTATTTCCTGGAAGGGAGATGGGAGTGAAGGATGAAGGAAGATGGAATCGGGGATCAGGTCATTTCCTACCCTTTCCCAAAGAGGCCAAAGGCGCTAAGTCCACTGAAGGCCCTCCCAGGAACAGTAAAGGACCCTCGCTGGGGAAAATCACAATGCATGAAGAGGGATATATTTCTCTTAAGGCAATAGGAATAAACTTCATTATTCTTCCCAGAGGAGAGCAAGAATTATACAAGGTGGCCACCAAGTCTGAAAACCAAGCAAAGCGTTAACAAGTGATTTATCGATGTTATATTACAGCGAATGACAAAATAGTGTTATCTGTATTTTTAGACTTTATGGCCACCCTATAGAATCTTTGGAATAGAAAAAAAATTAAGATTTTGTCTTCTCGTCATTGTAAAGCTGTCGTCCTTAGTCTAGGCACAACTAGTGCAACGTGTTCTGGCAACCCCACAGGCTCCACTCCCTTCGCCAACACTTCACTCACGGGAGAAAAACACGGTCAGCGTCAACATTTAGCAGCATTTTCAAAATACTTTTTTTCTTAAATCTTGAATAAAAAGTAAACAATTCTTTTAGTCCAGTAACTCCCTATGGTCTTAATTACATCTAGTACATAAGATATGATCTTTTAACATTTATGTAGGTATTTCTTACTTTGAGGATTTACAAGGATGATCCCCTCTCCCCCTCCCCCCCCCCCAAAAAAAAAGGAACAGTGCCCTCCCATGTAAGTCAGTAAAGTAGACCCTCAAAGAGCTCAGTTCTGGTGCATCAGGTGATCTGACATCATCCCCTCGCTCTCTGCTCTTACAAAGGAATCTCGGCGGGCTAAAAGCAGTATCTGAAGGGAGAAAGGGAGGGGGAGGCAACCATCTAATAAAAATAGCAGGAGCCAAATCCTTTCATTCCAGGATGTCTGAAGAGCAGAGCTTCTATGGAGCATGGATGCAAGGGAGATGCCTCTCTTAACCAAAAAATAAAAAATAAAATGAGTTGTGGGTACAGTCACTCAAAGTCAGAGAAGCGACCACTGCGAGAATTGGCTTCAACCTCCTTGTCTCCAGGGGAGGATCTACCAGAGAACGTGGACAAAGCCTGGCCTACAGCTCTGGCCATTCTCAGGCCACTGGTGCTATGGTTCAACAGCCATTAGGGGGTGGGGGAGATCCAAGAGACCACCACCACCACATGTAAAAAGGCTGCCACTATGGCAACATGAAGGTCAGAAATCAGCTAGAGCTTGGGTTATACAGCGTTTGAAATCCAGCCTGTCCTCGTTTCCTTGCGAAGGGCTTGCCAGGTGGGTGCAGAGGCATCTTCAACATGTGCGGGCGACCCTTCTTCCCGAAGGGCAGAGGACAGCCTCTCCGTGGCCTCCTTTCACTCATCAGTCTTCACATCATTTCATCCTTTAAACTAGAAAAGATACTGCAAGCTATGTCAGCTGGCTTCTACTGGGGACCACACACTACACATACAACGGAAACACCTGTGGGGAGAAAACACATCTTCCGAGTTCTTCCCCTGGCCAGGCTCAGCATGCTTCTCTGGACTGAATGGGCGTGATCTTATTCGAGAAAACCGTGTAAACACAGGGCCAGATTTTGTCAGTGTCCGTTCCAGAAAACTGGTGGAGCACTCCTCGGGACCTGAAAAACAAAGCCCAGTAGGTACAATGCCAGCACCATTGTATAGTCTCTATCCAACGCTGCAAAGCGCCCAAATGGCCCCTTCCCGTATGATCAGTACCCCCCACTGTGGGGTCTAACTAAGGCCATAGCTTTCACAATTCTGGCATGCTGGCCACAGTGCCCCCTGTTCTCTTCCCCATTAAAACATATCGAAGAGCATTACTCTTTGGGGACAATCCCAAGTCTGCCTCACGACACATTTCTCAAAAGGGAACCAAGGACAAAATTTGGTACTCTAAAACCCAAATTACCACCATGATGGTAAAATATGGATTGAGTCACAGTAATCTGATCAGGAAGCTCTGACCTAAAGGACGGCTAAGTTGTTTGGAGGCTACAAGGCCAGAAATGGATCACAGCACAAGCTGTCCACTGCTGTTCAGAATGCAGATCCGCAGACGGGCTTCATTGTTGCTAATATAAAAACTGGGAATTTTCCCACCCAAGAGCCAGCTGTCTGCTTCTCTTGGAAAACAGGAATCACTGGTCACACGGAGCCTGGGGGACCCCTGTGGTGATAACTGACTGGAACTGCATAGAAGCCACACAGTTCAACTGTCACCCAACTGACCCCGCACACCCCCACTCCTACCTCCCCCACCCCCCACCACCCTCTCTGTTGACATTCATTTCCAGGACCTGCCTGGCCCCTTTAGCCATTTGAATTTGTAACCCACAACTTATAGTTTTAGCTTTTCTTTGTAAAACTCCTTCCAGACACATCTAGGCCAAAAGTCCCTTCTAGCCGAGACCGGTTTGGCTCAGTGGATAGAGCGTCGGCCTGCGCACTGAAAGGTCCCAGGTTCGATTCCGGTCAAGGGCATGTACCTTGGTTGCTGGCACATCCCCAGTAGGGGGTGTGCAAGAGGCAGCTGATCGATGATTTTCTCTCATCGATGTTTCTGACTTTCTATCCCTCTCTCTTCCTCTCTTTAAAAAAAAAAAAATCAATAAAATATATTTAAAAAAAAAAAGTCCCTTCTAATCTTATATCCGAATAAGATATTTATGTGTGGCATTTTCATTTTCCTTTTTAAATGGCTGAAATAATGCTTTACATTTTGACATTAAGTCTAGGTACAATTTCCAACTGGACAGGGATGATCAGGTGTCAGAGCCTGTACTGGACATTGTCTTCCACAAACAACTCCAGTATTTCATCCTGGGAATGTGCTTGGCCAGTGGTCGGCAAACTAATTAGTCAACAGAGCCAAATATCAACAGTACAATGATTGAAATTTCTTTTGAGAGCCAAATTTTTAAAAAATATGTATCTTATTGATTTTTTATAGAGAGGAAGAGAGAGGGATAAAGAGTTAGAAACATCAATGAGAGAGAAACATCAATCAACTGCCTCCTGCATGCCCCCTACTGAGTATGTGCCCGCAACCAAGATACATGCCCTTGGCCAGAATCGAACCTGGGACCTTCCAGACCTCAAGCCAATGAAGAGCCAATTTTTTAAACTTAAACTTCTTCTAATGCCACTTCTTCAAAATAGATTGGCCCAGGCTGTGGTGTTTTGTGGAAGAGCCACACTCAAGGGGCCAAAGAGCCAAGTGTGGCTCAAGAGCTGCAGTTTGCCGACCACAGTGCTAGGCTTTTAGGGCTTATTTCGCTGAAAGAAACATCCCCCCAGTTCTACCCAACTGCCACAAAAACACTGAAGTGCACTCACTTGTACAGATTAACCACAGGCTTGGCCACCTCTTTGTATTGTCTTAGCCTGACATTGACTGCTTCCGGCTTATCGTCCTCCTGCTGGACCAGCCGTTCACCAGTGACGTCATCAACCCCCTACAAATGCCAGAGAAACCAGTTAATATGGGCATCGGTCAGGCCATTCCATAGTAAAACACTTTCCTGTGAAAACCATGTCTTCACCTTTGACTCCCACCACATAATGGTTATACCTGGGCACCAATGGTAACAGGGAAGGCACTTGAAAAGAAATGGCACTCTTAGCAGCATGTAAACCCTATTTCATGAGAGCTGACATTAAATCTTTATTAACTTCTCAGATCTTTCCAAACAGGTTCCTGTGCTGTTGATAAATGATACCGTCAATTCAGTTTAAATTTCCATGCAGCCTCCTTCTGCCAACAAGCAACCTTTCAGCAAAATGGAGATGCTCTCTAAAGCCCGAGTTCTTAATATAGAAAATGAACTGTTTCAAGGAAACAATTCATTTACTCAGAGAAAGCACTAACCGAGAAGATCTTTTCAGTCCTGTCTCAGCTAACTTTCAAATTCTATCATGTAGCTTTTCTAAGAGTACTCTCACATAGGTTATTTTACTAAATCAGATAATGGTTTATCTTAAGGTAAGTTATCCCTGGCCGATTTGGCTCAGTGGTTAAGCCATCAGCTCGGAGACCAGGGGGCCATGGGTGGATTACCAGTCAAGGGAACCTGTCTAGGTTGCAGGTTCAATCCCAGGCCCAGTCGGAATGTATACGGGGGAATGGCAGATCAATGTGCCTCTCTCTCATCATTGATATTTCTCTCCCCTCCCCTTCCTTCCATTTTGTCTAGAAATCAATGGGGAAAATGTTTTTGGGAGAGGATTAAAAAAAGAATTTTCTTACTAAATGTAAATTAAAATAGGCATGAATCATACACTCATGATAATCAGGAACAAACATTCTGAGAACTGAAAAATAACAATAAAAAAAAAACACCCCGATTTTTTAATGTATTTTAACCTCCTTAGGAATCCTACATAGAAATAGCAAATTGGACAGATCAGAATTTTTCCTCCCAAGTCCATGGCCATTCTGCACCAGGGGAGATAGTCGAAAGAAATAAATCTGTCAAAAGGCAGGCTAGAGCAGAACCAAAGTGCTCAGGCAACTCAACTGGATAATTAGAAACTGGCTATAAATTTGAAACTCGCTACAATTCCATTACAGCTCAGGGTCTTGGTACCTAATTTACACTGATGACTTATGGGTGAGCCACGTGTGTATTCCACTGCTGCTACCCTGACACAATAGGCGAGCGATGGGGAGGGGAGAGGCTATACATCACCTATATCCCCCCCTTTTTTCATATGTTTGGCTGCAAAGTTCAGAAGTCATTTCCAGGCCTTCAGAGCACCAGCGAATACAGCTGCTTCTGGAAAGAGCAGGAGGATGCTAGGGCAGCAGCACTGTCCTGGGGGAGCTCTCAGACCCCAGGGGCTGGTGGAGTTGGCCCAGACAAGCACGTTTACTGCTGTCCTTGGAAGCGGCAATGTAACTGCAGGTATTCTTTTTGGGAAACCCAGTCTTTGGAAAGTGTTAAACCTTCTCAAATTTAATGAGAATCTTTGCAACAGCAGGTCTAGGCAGAGCCAAAATGCGAAGCATCTGTGCTAGACGTCAATGCATTTCAGAACGTTCTTCCCCACCCAATGTTTTCCCCTGCCGGCAGCTTCTTGGGACGGAAAAGAGAAAGAAATCTGATAGAGAAATTCCAGAGCTACTGACATTTAAAAAGAAGACTTAAAAAGGAGACTAGGCCCTAGCCAGTTTGGCTCAGTGGATGAGAGCATTGGCCTGCAGACTGGAGTCTCAGGTTTAATTCCGGCCAAGGGCACATGCTCGGGTTGCGGGCTCGATCCCCCCCCAATAGGGGATATGTAGGAGGCAGCCAATCAATGATTCTCTCTCATCATTGATATTTCTATCTCTCTCCCTTCCTTTCTGAAATCAATAATATATATATATATTTTAAAAAGAATATCTTTTTTTAAAAAAAAAAAATGGAGACTAGTGCGCAGCCCAAATGAGCAAGACTCACTGGAACTTTATTGAACTTCTAGCTAGCAAGGCATCCTTAATGTTTTAATTTTCTAAAATTCCATTCAGCAATTGATGTTATAAACTTTAATTCACATTCCTTAACTACTAGTAAATAAGCCTCTTAAATATTGGTTGGCTGTGCATATTTGCTCATTTTTCAATAGTCCCTTCCTATCTTTTACCCACTTCTCAAAACTAAAATGTCTTGGTTCTGTCCTGTTGGTTTGTGAGCGCACTTTGTATATTCTTACGTGCACGAGAGGTGGATTGAAGTCCAGGTTATACACCCTCCCGCTAGGAGGGTGAATCCAACGTCGGCTGAGACGATCTCTGAGTGTTTCAAATGGAATGTTCAGAGTGATCACGAGGTCCAGGTCACAGATTCTGTCTAGGGCTTCAGCCTGAACTAATGTCATGGGAAAACCTAAATGCCAAACAAAACACAACAAACACAAGACATTTCTCAATTCCAATTAGTCATTGAAATATAACCCACCCCCAAAATTAATGAGAAGTAAACAGGCTACTTTCCAAAGTGGATCCAGCTTTTGGAGTCCACGGGGCTAACGAGCCACATGATAAAAGTAGAAAGTGCAATAAACTAAAAGTCACTAGACAAATCCCAGCTCCAGTTCCAGCTTTGCTCTTAACTACCTGTGTGACTTGGACAAGTTACATCACCCCCAGCTCCTCTTCCGCTAAAGAAGTGAAGGTTCAAAGCAGTGTTTGCGCCTTCTTAGCTCTAAATGTTTAAGTATAGGCAGTCCTCTGGTTACGTCGGACTCAATCTATGTCATTTTGTGGTTACATGGCCCATCTCCCATTAATTTATTTAAAAAAAAAAGTTCTTATCATTTCGACGTATGTATATGTGTTTTGTGTTTTTTATTATTTATTTACCACAAGGTCAGAAATTGTTATCTTTCTTTTAAATTTTTTTACTGTTTCACTTCATTACTGCTGTGTAGGGGCGCCATGTGAGTGATGTAGGGGCTCATATAGGTAGGTTCTGACTTACGGTGAAAATCACATTATGTTGCCACAGGAAAGAAAGGATCTCCGACATAACCCAAGGACCCACTGTATATTATTCCTAGGTTACCATAAAAGAGTGTGTGTGTGTGTGTGTGTGTGTGTGTGTGTGTGTGTGTGTGTGTGTGTAGGATTAAAGTAGGCTCTTTCACCCAGGCTTCATTTGAGCCTGTATCTTAACAAGGTGGGCAAAAGTCCATTCTCAAAAAGAACTGGTGGTCTTAAAACTACCTTGATACTATAAAATTTATGAATCCAGCCCGGTTTTCTGCAGATGGGAAAACAAAAACAGCAAAACTGAATTTGGGCTCATGTACATCTCTTCCATTTTTTTCTTAAAGGCAACCTCAGGAGTTAGATAACTCCAAATTATGTTCTCTCCCCCGCCCCTACCTCTGCCCCCAGGGATTAACCTGCACTAAATGTTACTCCAAGTTTGGCTGGATGAACTTGGACTACACAGTGGTATATTTTTTTCCTAAGAAGAATCACTTCAGACTGTCTGCTCCTGAAATCTTTCTGTATCTAATATCAGGTTTGTTGTGTTTTTTTTAAATGGCCTTTACAACATTTTAGGAGAGTTAGGAGGATGGAAAACTGAGTGGAAATTATAACAGGAAGCGCAATATCCAGAAGATAAACTTTTTAAACCACTTCAGGTAAGGACACCAGCCTATCTCCACCTTTCCATCCATGGAAATAACAAGATGACAATGTAAAGAAAGGTCTTCCTGGCCCTGGAACATTCGCTATTCAAAGAACTCCTTTTCCTTTTCGCTATTCAACAGGAAGTCAGTTGTTCAATCATGAATGTCTTACGTTCTATGTGGAAATTCTAAAGTGGTATCAATGTCAAGGTTTTCAGAGTGCTTTATTGGTTAAATGTGATTAAATCCCCCCAGCTTCAGGTACCAACGATTGCTGAAAACTCCAGTACTGCCCTCCAAGCCTTCCTTATTGACTGTCCCTGGGGCCAGCCCTCTCTCTCCAAATCCCTCTCAGGCTCCTCATCAATCATCTTCCCCATAGAGAAACGGTCCTTCTTGCCTCCTCTCCACATAGCAGGACTTTTTTATTTAAGTCCTGGATGAAATTCCTGCCTTTCCTGGGTTCTACATGTTTCCCAGTTGCAATCTAGCTCACCTGTTCCCACAATTTCACTTTCAGGCTGCCTATGATACCATTTTCCTTATCTACCCTTCTCTAATTTATTCTTCATTTGCCCATTATCAAGTGACAGGAAACCCAAAGTTGCCTTCGGCCACATCAGCTTACTTTCGGTATTGCTCTCTGCAGGCCTCATTAGCTCTTTTTCTGTCATTGAAGGTGCCACTGCCATAGGACCTTTGCACTTGCTGTATTCCCAAGATATTCTTCCTGCAGATCTGACTCCTTATCATTTGGGACATATGTGCATATCTCTCAGGGAGACTTCTTGAATAGTAAATTTAAAATAGCCCCATTCTCACTCTGGCTCAGTGGATAGAGCCTTGGCCTAAGGACTGAAGGGTCCTGGGTTCGATTCCAATCAAGAGCACATGCCCAGGTTGTGGGCTTAATCCCTAGTGGGAGGCATGCGGGAGGCAGCCGATCGATGATACTCTCTCATCACTGATGTTACTATCTCATTCTCCCTCTCCCTTCCTCTCTGACATCAATAAAAATATATTTGTTAAAAATAGCCCCATTCTCCTTCCATTTTCTATCTTATTACTCTTTTTATTTTCTATTATTTATTACTATAAATAATTTGTTAGTATTATTTTCTATCCCTACATCACTTCCTGAGATAAGGGACTTTTGATCATTGCTACGCCTTCCTTAAAACAATCAGCACAGATGGGCAAATTAGTATAGGGCCATATTTCCAAAGTTTATGCCTTGTTAAACTTGCTTATATTTATTATAAGGTTGCAGTTTACAGAGATCAAAAGAGTAATATAATTTCATGGAATTAAATTAGGACTTTTAAAATGTGTTGGACTAGTCAAATAAGTATGATTACTGAGTGGAAAATTTGAAGACAACTACCCTACTGCTACATTCAAATATTGGCAAGTCTGGGTCACAATAAGTACAGAAACAAACAAAAAAAAAAAGGAGTCAGGAATTTCATAGCAATTCTAGAGTCAGGGTTGAATTTTTAATTCTTCTACTCTTTTCTAGCAATTTGTTTTTATTATATTTGACCAAAGGACTGTTTTGCAATCAATTGGGGGGAAAATAAAACTGAACTTTCACTATAGATAGTTTGTTCCAGATTTCCAGACTTCCTTTCTAATTTCTCCAATGAGGTAAACTATCCAATGGCATTCGCATATAACTTTTGATGGTGTTTACTAGTATTGCAGAAGGGATATAAATTAAGTTGCATTTCTTCCCCCAAAAAAAGACACAACAACAGAGAGAACCAAACATGCAATATGTTCCAACATTATTCTCATGACAAGGAAAGATAGAACAAGTTCACACAGAAGTGGGAAAAGGCTTATCTTGCAGGTAACATCTCAGTTCACTTGTTTTCATGTGCCTGACAGAGGTATACACGTGTTCCCCCTATGCAAAACGGTTGTTCCAGCTTCACAGATAGCATCAGAAGAAACTGCTTTCATGTCCTCATAGCTATCCTCTTCTGACCCAGCTTGCATTCAGGCTGGTTTCAACACAGAAATTCAACAGAGACCTTGTGTTTCTGACCTTGTAGCATCCAGTCACACTGCCTCTGGCTAAGCATCCCCCTCAAATGAAGGCACCCACACATTGGGAAATTATGCTGGAAAATTATGTTCATGGTGGCTTTCCTTTGCAACAAAAATATGGGTGATTCCTTTCTACTCTTCCACACTTTTTTCCCCCTAATTGTGAACATAGTGTTTTCAGAATGGGGGGGAAAAAAATAAAGAATTATTGACTATGCCTGGGTGGCATGGCTCAGTGGTTGAGTGTCGACCTATGAACCAGGAAGCCATGGTTCGATTCCCTGTCAGGGCACATGTAGGCTTGACCCCAGTGTGGGGCTCTTTAAAGTTAGGAGTGTAGGAGGCAGCCAATCAGTGATTCTCGCTCATCATTGATGTTTCTATCTCTCCCTTCCTCTCTGAAATTAATGAAAATTTTTTTAAAAAAATTTTTCTTAAAATAAGAATAGCTAACTTTTAGATTTTTAAAAATCTCAACATAATTTCTATTAGATCCAGTTATGACTAGCTGGCATTGAGGGAAGTGAAAGGTCAAATCGTGTTTGCCCAAATCAAGCACACCATGGAAACCTTGGCCTGGGTAGTAATGCCTGCCACACGGTGGGCCAACATTTGAATGTAACACTAGTTTTCCATTTTTCCAGTTTTCCAATCAGTGACCACATTATTTGACCAGTCTAACTCATTTTAAAACCCTAATTTAATCGTATGAAATTATATTACTCTTTTGAGCTCTGTAAACTCAATATATAACATTATTTCTAATATGAAATGAAATGGTTTGACTGATTTAAATGTCAATTTATTAAATAACTTCTCTGATTATTAAGTTTAAAAACAAGCTGAGTTTTATAATTGGGGCTTTATAGTACCTGGTTGTGTTCTTGGGCCCCAGACATATAACTACCAGGAAGATAGCAATGTGATTGTCTGAGTTATCAAGGAGATGATTTAGATCCACATGGGCCCTCAGGGATCAATTCAATCTACGCTGGAGGGTGGGAAAAAGAGACTCAGAAGAGTCCTGATAAAGCCAAGCCTCCTTTATCTTTCCCAGAAAATACCTTTACAATACTACACACACACACACCCTCAAACAGATCCTTTCAACTACTCCTTCTCCCAACATCTCGCTAGATCCGGGATTGGGGATGCCACAGAGAAAACATTGGGAGCAGGCCTGGGCGCTATGCTATCTATTAGTCTAGTCCAGTGGTCGGCAAACAGTGGCTCACAAGCCACATTTAGCTCTTTGGCCCCTTGAGTGTGGCTCTTCCACAAAATACCACGTTTGGGCATGCACGTACAGTGTGAATGAAACATCGTGGCCCATGCACAGAAGTCAGTTTTCAGCCTGGGTGCGTCTATTTTGAAGAAGTGGTGTTAGAACACTCAAGAGACCAAAGAGCTGCATGTGGCTAGCAATCCATGGTTTGCCGACCACTGGTCTAGTCTATTAGTCTAGACTCACTGCCCCTACACTAGCCTAGAAGATGAGCTTTCTGGTACTGGGCCTGGTACATTCTACAGCGAAACCCCAGCAAAGTGAAGGCAGTGAGCCTTCCACATGAAAGCACTCCCTCAATGATTGCCAGACCCTGTCTTTCCCTGTATCACCTAATCTTCACTAAATCTTCAAGATGACAGCTGGTATTAAAAATGTTTCTGCAGGCCTGGATGAGGCTGGTGGACC